TCACTTAGAATAGCTCGGCGTAGCTCAGCTGTAGCATTTATGTCTTCACGAATTGCTGAAACAGCAGTATCAAAGTCATCAACTGTGTCCATGCCTCCCATAAGATCGGCGATTATTGGCTCGACTTGACATATCGAGGTCATGGCCGGGGACATAAGTCCTAGGATGTTGGATGCCATTTCCGCCTGTGAAAAGGTTCGGACGCCAAGTTTCTCAATCCCCTCAGCAACGATATCGTTTGAAGACATTAGGCCAGTGCCCCGAGTCCATCCAATCGAGACTCCACAAATAGAGATGTAATTTCCCCAACCCTCAGAGCGCTGCTTGTTAAGCAGGGCTTGCAAGGCTAACTTAGACTCCGCGTAAAGCCCATCATTGCCGAAGATACCATGGTTGGGAGAAAGGGGCAGAATGACCTGAGCAGGTCGAGTGATTGTATCACGGATTATTTTCTGTGTCTTTATCTCGCCCAACATACGCACGGTATTTGTTAGCATAACACGATGGGCTAGTTCTGATCGAGAGTCGATATTGCTGATGTCCCGTCCGCTCTCGGAAATGGCCGCGAACGGCACAACAAAATCCAAATCCCAGCACAAATCGTCATATATATAAGAAACTAAGGATTTGATATCCCGCTGGCTGCCTTGGTTGAATGGTACTACCACCAATCGTGAGCTGCGCGCACCAAATTCCATATAGATCTCTTGGTAGAAACGAGCGGTCGCCGCTGAGTAGGACCGGGTAGTAATGACTACTCTTGCCCCACCGCTGAGTACACATTTGAGGATGTCAAGCCCAATTGACCCCTGGCTTGCTCCTGTTATAAGGATGCACTTTTCGTGAAATGTTACTCCTCGTGTAATGTTGAGGTCCAAAGCTTCCCAATACTCCTGTGTAAGATCGTGGCTAACAACCCACCCCTGCTTGACTTTCTTTTTAATGCGCAAATGATGTTTTGAGATAGACATGGCCTCAAGAATACTTGGTTCTTTCCCGTTGATCTCCGCTTCTGGTACGGATAGTTCTTTGGCTGAGGTACAATCGCATGTGTTTCTTTCTCGTTGCCTAGGCCTCGAAACCTCGAAATACTGAATCTTGCCCTGGCTATCGATTAAAGTCTTTGGGGCTCTGAAGTTTGAAACGCCCCTAGCTACGGGTAGAAGCTCAGGCTCGTCAACGCACATTTCGATCAAATATGCCAAGAACCGTGCCGCCGTGTTGTATCTCTCCTTCCGATGACCCTGAACATGTGATATCCGTTGAGCTTTCTCTTTGAGATATCGCATCGTCACTACTAGCCGCTGGTTGCACTGATTCCGAATTCGATAGGCTCTTTGAGCGACTGCATCGTTGTCTATTAGGCTTCCGTGTATGAGACCATAGAATAGAGACAAAAGATTCTGCATTCCCCAGTTCCAACTTGAATCGTATTGTCTCGCCTTCTTCGCATCAAACATTGATGCGATGCCGTCTCCGTATGTCTCTCCGTGCTCTTCCACCCATGACCCAAGCTGGGACCGCAATATCTCAATGTGTTCTCTAAGGTCATCATGTATGGTGCCACTTGAGCAAGAGTTCGCATTGAGATGACCTGCATATACGTTCATCAATCGTCTGTTTAGAGCATCGTGCTGCCCTCGGAAGTGGTCTAGTACCACGGGATCGAGGGCGATCGAATTCTGCGTTCCACTCTCAGCGAGTGTGAGCAGTGGATCGATGTCTAAGCTTTCCATATAGATTGCAACCACTCTATCAATGAAATCATTGGCTTCTTCTTCTGAGGTGAGCCTAGCAGCAGGCTGAACAGTCGTCGCAAGGAGGAGGACGGAATCTTGTCTGTCGCTCGTTAAACCCCACTTGCGGTCCAGGTATTTTCTTATAGAACGGGCTGTGAAAGAGCCAGGCATTTTGGATGCCATCATTTGATTTATCATCGATTGTGAGCGCTGACCAAGCTCGCCATTGAAGCTGGTCTGGAGAGAGGAGCACAAGTCTCCGAGTGTCGTATCTTCCACGTCATGTGGTAATGACCCAAGCTCCTTTTCAAGATAACCTACAATCTCATTCTGGAGAGTAGATCTCCCTAGGCGCTTTCATTAGCTCGACAAAATTCTACTTACGCGTCGCGAATAAATAACGTACCGGCTGCGAATCCTTTAATAGTACTATCCATCGAGACTTTTGCGATGGGGACTTTCAGGGTAGTCGCGACGATTGTCCTCACCACCTCGGCTGCTGTTACGGGAGCGCTCGGTAGGGCCATTCGCTGGTGAGGTGCCGACGGTGTGACCGAAGCCGGAGGAGCGAGGGCCTCGGAGGCAGTCTTGACGGGAGCATCTTCACTACCTTCAACACTAACTGGACCTTGCTCATGGAAATATTTTTCTTCTTCGTAGAAAATCTCCTTAGAATCTAGCTTCACGGATAAGAGTCGTCGCTGTAGGCCCGCTGCCATATCGGCGTTCTGATATATAGATGCGACAGTCCGTTTGGCCATGTTGACCAGCGTGCTTCCCGGGCCAATCTCTATAAGACGCTCTACCTGCCTTTCGGCGAGTAGAACGTCTTGTGTTTCGATCCTAACAGTGAAATGTTAATATCCCCAATGTTCTTGATTGATCAACCATAAATGAGGTATAGTTTACTTACCATCGGACGGGATAGCAGAATTGATGTCTGAAAGTAATTAGAAAGTCTCACACATGGCTAAATCCCGACTAAAGTGTACTCACGCAATCAACTCCACGAGAAGTATATACGCGAGCTCCCGCTCAGTTGCACTGTACTCCATGATCCGAACCCGATCAACCGGCTTCTTTTACGCGCACATGATTCGATAGTGAACTATGCTTCATGTGTAAAAGCCTAATTATGAATCATAATGTCAGTTTTGAGAAACTACATTTTCAATCTCGAAAGAAAGCACGGTAGTGCTGACGGAGGCCATGCATATACATGCAGCGTTCCACTAAATCTTTTACGAAGTACTGCCTCGTTACTGGACCGGGGTAGGAATCCTACTCTTATCAACCACCTCTACCTATCCGCCGCCCAGCCCCATACGACCCGTTTAGCTTCCAGCGTTCTTACAACGTTACATTTCCAAGATGCAGCTTGTGTTACCGCTGGAAATCGCTGTGTATATCCTCGGATATAGTATGGAGAGGAGAAGCTACCGGTGTATTCTATACGGCGTCATCAATTTGTACCCATAATTCATAGGCCAAACTAGACAACGAGAAGATCAACGCCAGGTAATGTATGTAGTGACAAATCAAACAATCCAAATCAGGGATCGTCAGAGAACAAGAGCTGGTAGTCAAAGTAAGGGTTTTAGCTACTGCAGTCTATAAATTTTTGATAGAATTCGCATTTGCGACATTGTCAGTCCTGATAACATCACTCATTCAGCTGTAAAAATTGTAAGTTCACTCATTATTTGCATGGCCCGGAGAGAACTCTCGACTATTTGGACAGTATTATGGCATCGAGCTTGGAACTGGAAATCCTTGACAAACCGGGACGTAATCAGTCCGTGGACGAAAATGTAAATCTGCAGTCAGAACTTTGCAAACTCGGAGCATTATGTCTTGATCCCTTGCCGGCATATCAGGTATTTGAACGAGAAACGGGACACGCACTGGACGACAAGATCATTGTGCTGGCAAGGATAAGTGGCACGCTTGTCGGGTTTGTCTCGACTATTGTACTTCCTATACGAGGACTCGAGACGCCTGTCATCCATACAGGTCTGACTATCATACACCCAAGTCAGCGCAAATCTGGGATCATGCAGGCATTGTTCGCGAATCTATTCTTCTATATCTTAGCTACCCACCCCGAAGGGGTTTGGTGCACGACATTGGCGGAAGTGATTAGCTCTCTGGTACAGATGTCATTGTATACAACGAGAGTGTTTCCATCGCCGGAATGGGTCAAAGATCACCCTGACGGAAAGCCATCAGCAACTCATCTGCTCATAGCCGAAGAGATCGACAGAAACTATCGACAAAAGCTTCTGATCTCATCAAGATCGATATTTGATAAAGACAGCTTTGTGTTCAGATCTTCGAATGATTCGTCTGACGGGAAAGCGTTTCGAAAAGATGTGGATGATCCAATATATTGGCACAGGAATGTCGAACGATCAAAGTTTTACAGAAAATTGTTGAGACGCAATGAAGGCGACGAGATTTTACAAATATCCTTCTTGGATGTAAGGCATCTAGAAAACCTGAAACAAACTCAAAGATTCAAGGGTGTTTTTGACGACCTGTCTGCTAAAGTAAGCATACCCTGCAATGACTCTTAAAGCACATGGTGTAGCTGCAGCTGAAACAACATAGTTCTGAACTATGTTGAATGGTCAACTTGCGTAGCCGTTATTCAACAATGATAGGCCTATCACTTCATTATCGTGGCTTGAATAACAGCAAGATGGCGAGGGGCTAGCATTCCAACTTCTCCTGATAGATATGAAAAAGATCAATGCTCTTGATGATTTCCAATCGTCGTGAGGACTTTCTTTGGGTTTCTCTTTCGTCTTGCCTGCCCAGGCGTGCGTTGATATTTGCCCCCAAACCAATCACGTCACTCGAGTGGGCTGAGTATGTGCAGTTCAAGTCGCAGTTTTGGATGTCCGAGGCTGTAGTTAAAAGCGCTGCCGCCATTGAGAAACGTCTGTTGGGCATGGAGGAGACTTACGCTGAGTATGAGTGGATTGGACTACACCCCCTCCACCCGGATAATGATGAAAGGCAGACCAAGATAAGCAGCTAAGAGGTAGGCCAACACTTAGGCCCTGATTGTTTCAAAGCAATTGGAAAGGGAAAAAATTTATAAAGCATTGAATACTTAGCTTTGATGCTGTGATCAAGCTTCTTCGTAACGGTCGTGACCCGTCCAAGTCGTTATCTCATGACATGTAAACAGACGACGATGCATGTACCTAGTTCTCGGCACGCATGGCTACTTTACAAAAGACCCCAATCGTGAAGCTAAGTCTCGTCATCCCTGGCAGCAAGCCAAGCTTTGCCTTTCAGCATTTCGACAACACTGTCCCTGAGCCACCAGCCGTTCGTCTCTTCAGATACGCTTTTGGAACTGTCCTTGGAAGCATCCGGAACAGGGTCATCCTTCATTCTCACCTTACCTTTGCCCTTGTTTGATGTTTTCTTGGGTGTTTCCGGGCTTGAGCCTTGCTCTTGTTTTGCATCTTGCGGCAGTGACCTCTTGTCTGCCCACTCAAACAAGAATTTCAGACCTTGTAGATTCTCCCTTGACCATCCATCCATACCAGCTTCGAGCACCAGTCGAGCATCAACAGCAGAGCCTGCACCCTCGTCGCCTATATCACCACCCTGGCTATTCAAGACGACAGCCCTCTCTGCATGGGTCAGATCGTTCAAGGCGTCCTGTTCAAAGACCCATTCGAGTGGATTATGAGCCCGCCGAGTGGGGTTGGCTTCGTCGGCCGCGAGGACGTTGGCTGTGTCAGGGAATTCCAGATCATCGCGGCCAAGAGCACGAACCGTGGCACCAAATGCACCTTCGTGAAGGTTTCGGCGCCGGAGATGCAAGCTTTGATTTTTCCGGAACGAGGTAATTAGGCTGGGATCCTTTTCGAAGTTCAACTCCACGTTCCAAAAGCCCTGGGTGGTAGCATCCGTGCGCACAGTGGAGATGTCTTCGAGAGGGGGCAGAAGGCACGGCGTAATGCGGCGGATGACGGAATCCTCTGATCCTTCAGCGGCTTGGGGTGCCAGTTTTGACCTCTTGCGCGGTGAGGACAACTTGGCAACGCTCGGCAGCGGTGTTTTCTTTAATTTGATAAGAATGGGAACGCTCACTGGCTGCCCAGTGGCAACATCTTTTGCGACTAGACATCTTGGATCGGTGGCAAGAACCCAAAAGTGTCGGAATGCTTGCAAATGCGAGCGATTGTCCTGAACATCCGCCGGGAATATCGGGTAGAATGCAACTAGGAGTGCCGCGATAGCCATGTTGCTTGTGCTGAAGGTCGCTGTGCCGCAGCCCAAGAATAGGGTACCAATAGCGAGATGGGCAGCAAGATGGCTGCCATACGAAGTTTCAGCATCATCACGACCGTGAAGAGATCTCAGGCGACGCATGACAACAAGGTCTCCGGTACCAGCCATGACGCTCGCAGCCGATAATGCAACAACGTCCATGCACATCTGCACCGTGTTGCGTGATAGCTGCGCATCATAGTTGCCCGAGTCGAGGCGAGATATGCGAATGAACTGGTCTAGATAGTGGACTAGGAGGTCGCGGACCTTCATGTTTGCTGACCCCGCGTATCTCAAGCCTATAGCAAAGCATAGACCGGCAATTATGGAGAAGAAGGGCATATCCTTGCTCTGTAACTTGTGCGTTCCCGTTAATTGGTATCGCCAGCTAAACTCTCTAGGCAAGCTGGCTTTGATCCATGGGAAAGTGGGCTGGACTTGGCTCCACAAGATCAGGTTCTTGGCTAATGTCCGAAGTAACAATATATCTGGCCGAATATAACCAAATTGCAGAATTGACTCGGGAACATCAACTTTGCGTGCGACGATATGATCCTCAGACTTCATAAAAATCAAGGCGATTGCCATAACAGCGCCTGGAGCTGACCGATCAAGAACGTTGACCTCCTCAACCTTCTTCGTCGAGGAAGCTAGTGTGAGGAGCTTCTCAGTGAGGCGCATATCATGCAGTCCCTTCAAGTCGGTTCCTTTTCCGAGGTTAATAAAGCCAAGTGCAAAGCCTGCTGCCAGCCGGTATCCCTCGTTCCTTAATGGATCCTCGTCATCTTCGTCATCGACGAACTCGATTTCGGACATCATGATCTCGCTCATCCGGCGATGTTGACTGTTGCAGTAGAGCAGCCCAATTCCCATAATGCCTGTAGTCTGAGTGTGATGCGAAAGGTTAAGCTCGGCCGCCCCACGAGGAAGCATGCGAGTGACATGAACAGACAAGAGTCGGGTGATGAGGGAGTCCATTGTCCCCAAATATGAGGCAGCAAGACCTAGCAATAGGCCAATTGAAGTCATAGTGTGCTTGGGTGTCAGGTATTTGAAGGCCACCCACTTAGCTACGGATTTGAGGTGGCCGTTCAAGCCCAAAGCAAGCAAGAACCCAGCATGTCGATTGCTGAGATCTTGACCGGGCTTGTTGTAAAGAATCCACGAAGTGTCGATGCCCTTCGCATTCGGCGATATCGCGAGACCACCAGCAACGCCTTGGTGAAAAAAAGCCCAATTGACTTTCTCTTCAGTAAAAAGCGACTTCTCAACGCCAACTGTGTTGTTTGCTGGTTTGACCACGCAAGTGAGATTGAAGCCCCCGATAAAGAACTTCTGGGTTAAAAGCGGGAAACGCAGATTGTAGTATAGCAGACCACGTCCAGCTGGAATGGCCAGGGTGCTGGTGGCAATGGTTGCAACGAGTTCTTTCTGCTTCTCCAAGTACTCCGGCTCCGTCCACAGCGGTATTGGGTTAAGACGTACAACACGGAGGCGGTGCGTAGAGAGAAGGTTCTGCGCCTCGTTGAGTCGACGATCATCTTTGAACAAGGCTCGTACTACGGCCTGTCGTTCGGTGCCATCTCCTTCATCGTAGCCAACATTGTTATATTCTTCTAAGCTCTGTGCGATCATGCGGAAATCCCATGTTGCGGTGTGCGTGGGAGCCTGAAGAGCGGTTAGTTGTGAAAAGTAAATAAATTGGAATGGACTGACCATATTTTGCGGGACTGAGAATCGACTTATCCTGCTAGGCTTCAATGTTAAGGCAACATCTGATCGTTTCACCAAGTCAAGCAGGGCTTTCGGCCACGATGCTGGAGGATGAGGCTGACACATCGAGATTGCGTCCTGAAGAGGAGCTAATACTGATTCAGGCAGGGTCTCCAAAATGCTAACCGTAAATCCGCAAGCATGCAGAGCTTCAACAACCTCAACATGGGTACTGGATATCTTGAGTGATTGAAACAGTTTCTCAAACATCAGGGTACGAGGAATGAGTGCTCCCCAGCGCCTCTGTTTGTCTGCAGGCTTGATGGTCTCACGAGTTGCGGTTGTAAATACATCAGCGAGAGTGGGAAAGTGAATGGTCTTGTCTCCCGCTAGATGTGACTGTATCCATTCAAAGACGCCGATGGCACCTGGGGGGTCCGTTATTGGAGGATCGAGTTCCAGTTCTTGCTGTTGTCAGTCTCAAAAGATCTAGCGATTGGCTTGCCAGCGCTTACCTGCGTCATGCTTTGGGTCGACATCAGTCTGTATACCCAACTCGTAAAAAGACACAAATTCATACCACCTAAGCCATCTACCGATTTGGCATAGAACAACCCGCAAGTCGGCGCGACCAGGGGAGATGTATTCAGGGGCGAGGGCATTCAGTTTTTGTTCCTCAAGGAGAAGGTGGAGGCCAACAATAAGACTCCATGCCGCTTTCCTGCGACTATCCACACTTCTGTTAAAAGCGGTAGGAAGATAGCCGGCGGCTCCAATAGCTGCTTGCCCGGGCTCCGAGGCCATGAATTGCTTGGCTAGTCGGATGTGGAGGGACAGGAAATCTTCAGTAATTGGTAAGGCTTCCGGACTTGACGGCGGAGTAGAATTTTCATCGTCCATTATCCATTGCCAACCCCTTGTATGCAACCAGGGAGAAGCGACAGTAGCATTTGGTGCATCAAAGGTTCGCATAAGCTCAAGGTTTGCCAAGGTAATCGCACTACTACGTGCTCGTTTGAATGCCCGTGGACGACCTTGAACCGTCGGCAGTGTTGAAGCGTCCGTGTGTCCTAGTGCCAAGAATATCACAAAAAGCTCAACAACAAATGAAGACCACTCGAGGTCTCCCAGCTCAACGTCTTGCTCTCTCAGCCATTTCGTCACATGCCACCATCCTGGAAGCATCTTCTCGCCATATGTTGAAGGCAAAACGCTCCGGCATACACCGAGTGTCTTGCGAATTTGTGGTGAAAGTGGCTGTAGCTGAATTTGTATCCGGTGAACTATGCCATCTTTGTCTTGGAGATCAATGACGCCTCCGGGTCTGCTCTGGCGGATGGTTTGGACTTGGGTTGCTGAAAACTCTGCACTGACAGACTTCCGACCCCGGACTTCCCGATTGACATGCCTGCCACTATAATCCAGGCTGTTCAGGTTATCAAAGAAGAGTCTCGGTAAAGAAATGATGGACATCGCGCTCCAAGGTGCCTGGATGCTCAGTTCTCGTTGTCCCGTCATATTCTCGGATAGAATAAGTATCATAGCCTGGTCTCCGTCGAAGACTTTGCACGAGTCAACGACATTTTGGGCTCTCCTAAGCAATCCCCATGTCAGCTTTGTCATCTCGGAATCTGTATTCGATTCCTTTTTTCCTGCTTGGACGGCGAGATCAAACTTTCTGTGTCTTTCGAGGTAAAGGGTCAGCAGCTGCAATCGCTTATCTAAGGGGTCCTGTATGCCAATGAGCAGGTACTGCCTGCCTGCTTCGTCCGCTGCAAATGGGGGACCTGTGAGAATGAAGACCTTGGATTGACTTCGCGCCGGCTTGTTTGAAAGTGAATACCGGACATTACTGTTGTCCATTGGAACGCTGTGGATTTTGGTCAAGAGAATTTCTCTAGTAAGACCGTCAAATTCGTGGTCATCGATTCCCATATCGTGAAACCCTTCGAAGTCACCGCCAGCACGAAGTTCGTCAAGGACATCGTCAACTGGAGCCTCGAGAAGACTGTTGAGATTTTGGCTGAAAGTGCCACTCATACTCAAGTGTGGATAGCCGCCACTCAAACGCCCTCTCTGACTGCCGTGTGAGGTGTGTCTTCGATCCCCAGGATATACTGATGCCATCGACTGTTCCGCAAAGGCGGATCTTTCATGAGACGCAGAAAGGTCAGCTCTAGCCAAGAGGGAGCTAACCCGCCGTGACTGTCTCCGAGTAACTTCTGCCCCCTTCTCGGCATCTAGCGATAACGCGGCCTCGATTGATTTATCTAACTTTTCGCTTTTCCTCGGTTTCTTGCCGGGCATGGGGGCACCAAAGCTCTCCCTAAAGCTGGGAGCCGGGACCGGAGTCGCCGCACCACTCCTCAGACCAGGCTGCATCGAGCTGCGCCGTCGTGACGTCTTAGACTTTGGCTTCTTCTGCCTTCCAATAAAGAAGTCTTCGTTCTTTAGGTATGATAATCGCCACACGGTGTACATATTGCTCTCTCGATTGACCGTCACAGCCAGTACCAGTTCATCCTGGCTAGCATTTCCAGCTTGTCCTGGCTGCTTGACAGCTTCTATATGAAGAATTTCTTCAGCTGGGTCAAGGAACGGCGATCGGATCGAGCTAGTCCTTCTTGACTCCTTCACGGATCTGTCTTGAGGTGTGACGACAAGGCCTAGCTCCAGTAACGGGTCTGTCAGACATACAAGTCTGGGCCACTGGGAATCATTTGCTTCTAGCGGTGTATCGAACATCGTCTCAAAAGTAGAACTTAGTCGAAGAGGCAAGGTCTTGGGTTTCCCCAAACCCTCGATAGAGAAAGCACCAGCGATGTTCGCAGTTTTCTGGGGAGCTACCGGCGAGAGTTGCGAGGATATGAAGGAATTTGGGGGAACTCGGGGGAATTTGATGCTCACGGGAGCGAGATTATCCGTCTTGGACTTGCGCTGGATGATGACGCCGCAGGGAGCAGCGCAGGCGGACTCGACCTCGAAGGGCATGTGGACGACATGGCTGGGACCGGAGAGGAAGAATATGTGTGCCTGGGTCTTGAGAAAGACAACGAGGGCTTTCGAGAGTGGGCGCCGCCGTGTCCTCGTTGTGTGCTCGAGCTTGCTATCGGGGCTATTCGGGTCTTTGGTCTCGTCGGAAGCAGGGAACTGGGTCAGAAGGGCCTGTGTTATAGCTTCTTTCTCGAGATCGAACTTGAAGCTTTTGCGAAAGATGCCACCTCTTGACCAGATGACACAGTTGCCAACAGTGAGAAGCTCATCGTCCCCATCGACACCGGCATTCTCAGGGTTACTGTCAGGTATTACTTCCCATGTGTAAGAGTCGGCTGGCGGATCGGGAGGAAGCAGTTGCTCTGCAATGGCATGTCGGAGGCCCGTAGGCTGATGCACCCCCAAAGACTTCACCGACGCCATCTTGGGAACCACACTCCATTCGCAGGTAGTCGAGAATAGCAAAGGAATGTCCTTCGAAAAGGAGGTTAATGCGTTCTCATGGAAAAGATCATAATCCAGATCATAGCTTCAACAAGGGGCGTACCAGCTCAGCTTTCTGTAGGTGGGGCTGATCTTCTCGGCGACTTTTGGACATGCGCGTGTTGACTTTGGGAAGACGCGACAGAGGAAGGTGTGGTTCACCAGCAAGCTCTGGTGGGGCAGGCCCGACCTTCCCTTATCGATCGGCGCTAATTCAGGCACCTGAGCATCGCAGGAAGGTGGCCCAAGCTTAACCTGTTGACGTAGCTCCCGTCTCTCCCCATGTTTCCAAGCTCCGGCCTGGCACCTCTAACATCAGGACTCCCAACACTTTATTGAGCTCTCGCGACATTCTACATTATCTTGCATCTGCGCCATGCCTGGCCCTGGGCCGCGTTTTGCAACATGGCAGATGAATCGCCTGATATAGGCGACACGAAGCCCCACGACACTTCAGATGCATCTCCTACGCCTGCCTCTCCGACACCCGGCGACAACCCGCCTGCGCAGGCAAGTCAAGATGCTGAGTCTGAAGATGCTGGGAGCAAGGGCAGCAACAATGGAGATGGGGTGTCGCATGACGAGGGTGACGAAGAAGAAGATGGCGATGAGGGGGAGGAGGATGAGGATGAAGATGAAGAAGACGATGAGGATGAAGAGCCGCGACTGAAGTACGCGCGTTTGACCCAACATCTCGCCCCTGTCTATCGAAATGGAGACGCCACAAGCTCATTTCTCGTGGCTGGTGACAAGATGGTACGTCTACATCGAAAGGTCACTCTGCACATGTAGCGTGCTAACATTGACACAGATCATCGGAACTCATAATGGCAATATCGTAAGCTTCACAATGCTGCTCTGCGATCGGCCTCCGCTAACTCGACTCCCAGCATGTTATCCAGCTGCCAGTCTTCCAGACTATCCGAGTCTATCATGCCCATTCTGCATCCGTGACCAGCATCTCCATCTCCCCGTACCCGCCTCCGCTTCCCACCTTGAAACCCGAGGTCGCTGCCAGAGCAGTGGCTCAAGCAACTGGCACTCCCATACGGCCAGAGTCACGGCAGTCTGGGTCGCCATCCGCCGCAACATCTAGAAAACCGAGAGAAGCACCGCAAGTCCCGAACCTCCCATCGAACAACATTCACATCGCGACATCGTCAATGGACGGCAATGTGTGCGTTCAGTCGCTAATTGATATGAAAGATGTCCAGCTACGGAATTTCGCAAGACCAGTTCAAGCCGTAGCATTGTCTCCAGACTACAAGAACGACAGAACATATCTTTCCGGTGGCCTTGCCGGAAACCTGATCCTGACTGTTGGAGGACAGGCGGGCCGAAGTACGTCGACTACAGTGGGCACTGCGGCTGCAGCTTCCGGCTGGCTCGGTAGCATGGGGCTAGGTACAAACACTGGGAAGGACACTATTCTACACTCTGGTGAGGGTACAATTAGTACAATTAAGTGGTCACTCTCTGGCAAGTACGTCGCCTGGATCAATGAGCACGGCATCTGGATTATGCGCACGAAGCTGCATCTTGAGAGCGCTGACGCCGACGATGCATGGAAACGAATTGGCCATATCGACAGACCGCAGACCGATGAATGGGAAACTATGGCTAGTGTATGGAAGGGTCGTGCAGAATGGATCGACGAACAATCCGTTGAAGCAGAAGATGCACAGAAAGACAGCCTTGAAGTCGCAGCATCGCCTGCAGCAGAGAAGTTGAAACAACAGCAAGACAAGGGGAAAAAGCAGATCGAACGCTTGCTGGTTGGCTGGGGAAGTACTATTTGGATTATTAATGTTCATCCGGGCGACGTTGGCGTTGGCAAGCATGTAGGAGAGAGATCCGCAGGGCGAGCGGAGATTATGAAGATGTAAGTGTTTTCGCCCTTTTTTACATGTTACTGTGCTCACATGTCGATTTTGCGCAGACTTCGCATGGACTGCATCATTTCCGGCATTTCATTATATACCCAGAATCTTTTGTTGGTGCTTGCATATACATTGCCTGATGAGGAAGAGGAGGAGGACGAAGCAGAGGAGAAGGCGCCAGTTCGAGGTCACAAATCCAAGCCCTCGACGGCATCAAGCAGCAGTGAGCCATCCGGAGGTATTCGACGACGACAAAACAACCAGCCTCCAGAGCTTCGATTAATCGACCTTGTCTCGCAAGCTGAGGTAGATAAGGACGGACTAAGCGTCAGTCGCTTCGAGCGGCTATCTTCTGGAGACTATCATCTGGGAGTCCTTCCTCAACACAGCGTCTCAGCAGCTGCGTCATCGCGGGGCGCATTGGAAGCCCTAGCCGGGCTAGGTACTGATATGTGGAATGCTGCCATTAATCCCAAAGCCCTGTTTAGTTCGGGTGCTAGTATCAAGAGCAGAGACAGCGGTGATGCTCCTTCAAGTACCAAGGTTGCTAGCACAACAGGCAGTTTGAGGCTACCACACCGCCCGGCACCTTCAGTTCATCCCAACCTAGCTAAGCCGGGGATCAAGATTTTCATTCACAGTCCTTACGACTGTATCGTCGCAACAAAAAGAGATCTAGGTGATCATCTCGGATGGCTTTTAGAGCATCAAGAGTACCAGCGAGCATGGGAGCTCGTTAATGAGCACCCCGAGATCGTCAGCACAAGTGACAAGCTGCCTGAGCTGCAGCCCCCTTCTACACCGGACAAGTCACATCCACCACAGCAGGTCGATGACTTTTACGAAGATACTGCTTCCACGATTGATGCCTCGAGCCGGTCTTTCAATTCGTCTGCCGAGAGAGAAAAACGACGCATTGGAGAGCTTTGGATGCAGGAGCTAATTGAAGCCGGAAACTGGACTCGGGCTGGTCAAGTGGCTGGTAAAGTAATAGAGTCATCCGATCGATGGGAGAAATGGGTCTATACATTTGCTGGCTCCGACAAGTTCGACGAGATTGTGAATTACATGCCAACTGAGCCACTACGACCGCCTATCCGGAGCACCATATATGAAGTAGTGCTGGGCCATTATATCCAGACAGACAAACCCCGTTTCAGAGAATTGCTCGATCGGTGGGGACCAGACTTATTCGATCTGAACACTGTCTCAACGGCCTTGGAGAATCAACTCAAATTCCGCGATGTCCGCGAAGATAGCGTCGAAGATGGTGAGAGGGGTCGCGATTGGCGCATTGTCATGGAGTGTCTAGCGAAACTACATGAAGCGAACGGACGCCATAGAGAGGCGCTGCGTTGCTACATTAGGCTTCAAGATGCCGATTCCGCAATGCGATTGATTAAAGACAGTCACCTGGCTGATGCGGTGGCCGACGACATCCCTAGTTTCATTGCCCTCAGAGTTCCATCTGGGCGGGTTGATCACATGTCGAGGCCCGAGCTTGAGGAGGCGACGTCAGAAGCAGTTACGCTGCTTGTCGATGAAGCCCAGCATGGTCTCGTGCGACCCGAAGTTGTTGTTTCTCAGCTACAAGAAAGAAAGTTGAACCTCTACCTCTTCTTCTACCTGCGAGCTCTCTGGAAAGGCGAAGGCATTCAAGAACACATGGGTGAGAATCGCGATCGCCTTGTCATGGACAGCAAGACACTGGTGGACGACTTTGCAGATCTGGCAGTTCATCTATTCGCGGTGTATGACCAACCAATTCTGATGGACTTTCTCAAGACATCGACGTCCTACGCGTTTGAAAAAGTGAGCAATGTCTTCTTTTGCCATTTATATATTAAGCTAATGATGATAGGCTGTGCAAGAATGCGAGTCACACAACTATGTCCCCGAGCTAGTGTACCTTTACGCCAAGACGGGTCAGATGAAGCGTGCTCTGTATCTCATTATAGACCGTCTCGGAGATGTCAGCCAAGCCATAGCGTTTGCTAAAGAACAGGACGATCCGGATCTATGGGAAGATCTACTCAAGTATAGCATGGACAAGCCGCGCTTCATTCGAGGACTTCTTGAAGAAGTTGGAACAGCCATCAATCCGATCATATTGGTCCGCAGGATACCTGAAGGTCTAGAGATCGAGGGACTACGAGAAGGATTGAAGCATATCATGAAAGAGCACGAGATACAATATAGCATCAGTGAAGGAGTGGCTCGTGTACTTCGAAGTGAAGTTGCAGAAGCGCAGTCTAATTTGAGGAACGGCCAGAGAAAGGGCATCAAATTTGAAGTAGCGATACAAAGCAACGACCATGTCGACATTGAGACTAAGGATGTGCCAACGCCTAAAGCAGCGGCAGCTGGAGTGGAGGAAGCCGAGCAGGAGGAACAAGCTGGGGATGACGAAGCAACGGACGGTCAGCCGAAGCAAAAGACCAGAGTCGCTAAGGAATACCAGCCGGGTCACTGTGTCCAGTGCAATGAGCCTTTCGCCGAGTGGGAAACGGAGACGCTTGTAGGCTTTGCTTGTGGCCATGTCTTCCACTTGACCCATCTCCTGGAGTTCTTGCACCCTGGCGAGCCGGTTGACATTGATTTTGGATTCGGGTCGGAGGATCGGCCAGGGAGAAATGTGATTGGCACCAAGGTCACGCACGCGCGGTTGTTGAAGGACCGTATTATGGGTGGTTGTCCTGTTTGTACCGGGCAGAAGAGCGCGGCGGTTTGAAGATATTGAAAGTGTACATATATCATGATCAATCGAATACTCCAAAGGTTGGCAATCCATCCGAACGCCCGTTTTACCATGTGTCCACTTTACCCATAAATACACTTACCAATTCGGACATCATCTAACTTCAAACTAGTGAATTTAGGGTACATGCCAAAAGAAAAAAAGGGGGGGGAGGGATAGGGAGATATATGATATAGCTCTTTAAAGACTGCGAAAAAGACTGTCTACAGTAGAAAAGACTCCTCACCCGTCGACAGCAAATATGTTGCTCGGCAAAAAATCTCCTTCCACCATGCAAACATCACGGATGGGTGTAGGCAGTTTAGTCTTCCAACCCCGGCTGTCCGTTGGACCAGTTGTACGGTAATTAGGACCGATACTCTCGGTACCTGTGACCACATCTTTCCCAAATATTGTTCGGTTAAACACCGTGAATACAGTTTCCGGAGCATATGCAGAAACCGCATGCCCAGACTCGAACACTCTCGCGAACGAAAGTCGGTCATGTTGTTTTACAACTCCTCCTTTGGCGTTCTGTCCCAACCCCTGGATATCTTGATATCCAGCTGCAAGAAAGCCTTTTTGGTTCTTCCATTTTGTTACTTTTGCGACCGATTCGCCACCTGTCCACGGACAGGTGTAATCCCGGTCTCCATATATTAAGGCGATCTTGACGCCGCTGTCGAGTAGATATTCAAGGTTAGGCAGATTAGATTGTCGGAATGCATCTCCTGTTCCTTGCAGACTCCCAAATACTGTCGTCACCTCCATCGAATACCACGTCCAATTAAGCGGCACTCCAAGGTCAGACTGCATTTGGGCCGTGTTGAGATACTTGCCGACTGTTAGATAGTAAGTGCAGGTACCTGGAGTCTGGATAGCGACATCATATGTCGATACCTAAGCACTCGTCAATATATGGCCAATTCACGGGATAGAGCTAGGTGTCTGATACCTTGTGCTGCTGGTAAAGAAGCGTAATGAGAGGGGCGCAGTAGAGATTCGCTTTGGTGCAGGCTTCATTGACCGTTCCGTTGTTGCCCGTATAGCTAGGATCTCCTAACTCGCCGGCTCGACGACATGTTGTAATGAGGTCAAGACAGCCATCAGTTTTTGTTATGTTGTATTTGATTTCCTGGTAGGTTGCGTCGTCATAGAACTTGACTCCGTAAGTATTGTTGTTTGCAAATTCAGGGAACCCCTCCATTTGGTATTTGAAATCGATGCAACCGTTTGTGATTCCTATTGCATCGATTGTGAGATTCTTTCGCTTTAGAGGATGGCAAGCTGTGAGGTCTTTGAGATGTTTGCTGATAGTGGCTGCGGTTTCGGGTACATAGAAGCCGCCGTAGGAATTTCCCCAAAAACTAATCTTATTTGAGGAAGTTCTATACCCTGGAAAGGTAGAGAGCCAATTTTCAGCGAAATACCACAAAGCCCTGCTACTGGCTACCGTCGTATTCGATGTAGTCAATGGGTTCTGATCGGAGAATGTACCATAACCACTACTTGGTGACGCACTAGAAGTCATGTTCTGAGGTGTGACCAGAAGAGTTGAAGTGTTGTACGTCGCATTGATAAGTTGACTATATGAGAAGCCGACCATGTTGGGCTGATCGATATAGAGCATGTTGACGTAGTTATTAAAGGACCAGGGATTCGTCGTTGTGTTGGTACCATTAGGATTGACATAGCATGGTCCACTCTCGCTATTCAACACAGGATAAGATGAAGCTTCACCAGGCCCTCCTGCAAGATAAACTGCGAGTGGAGCGGTTTCAGGTTTGTGGCGTGCTTCGAAATACATGAAATAGGTGTTGATGTCGAAGCCTCCGAGCGCAGGGACCAGGCTGCCTGGAACATGGACATACCCACTATAAGACTTGACGCCAGGAGTCGTTTCACAGATGTGCATCTACAAAAGGTCAGCTAGATCATCTCGTATATCCTTTAGTTTTCTTCACCTGCTTCTGCGAAATTTTGACTTCACTGTTAACGCTGGAAGTAATTACAGTTGTCCCAGATGGCGGAGACACTGCAAACCCTCGGGAGATCATTGCAGCTGTTCCTAGCACGAAACTATCAATCTTCATTTCGACTTGTCTAGGTGTTTGAAAAGTAGAGAGATATGTCAGAACCCCTTGAATGGAAAGGAGCGGCCTCAATTTATCTCCAAGTCTTTAGGGAAAGGGCAAAGATACTAAGGCCCCCTTTCCGAGACAACCTAGAAGCGAATAATTGGAAAGCCACTAGTCAGGCTGTGAAGTCTTTACTGCTTTCTACTCACGACTTGAACTGAGACCGTCACTCTCAGCGCAATGTCATCGCCACAGCTAGCAGGGGCTCGTCATCAGCAATTAGATACGGAATAGCCGTGGACAGCCATGGTTGGCCCTGAACTTGCTAACACTCACTGCTACATGAATCCGTTTCCCATTGTAGAAAACCTAAGCTATCATAGTTCTGCAAAGAATGAATTTGAAATCTGGCACCACATGGCAACGGCAAGTCCCATTCCTTCTAGGCAACCTCCCTCACATGGAGGGTGTTGGCTGCTATGAATTGTATCAATGCCTACGCTACAAAAAGTCTCGACAAGGATTGACCCATGTATGCCAACTCCCTATTCCTGGGCTGATTGACGACTTCTGATAACATCACTGTGGCTTCGAAATACCGCAGACGTGATTGGTCCTTGCTACTACCAGGGTAAGCCGAAACGAGAATTGATAGCTTGCACTTGACCAGCTAATTCCTCGTTACGCATGCAAGGCCGCTATCATACTAGCCCTGCTGTAGCCCCCAGAGTAGCGCCTCTACCCCGGAATGCACATCACAACCGATCCTCACTTATTCTAGCCTTAACCAAACAGCAGTGAAGACAAATCTCTTATCAATACATGTATCCGAGAAAGAGACTAACCGACTTGATAGCACACCGACATTTGGATCGTATCACTTCCTCTCGCCTTCCAAGGCCAGACAAGCTCGGAAAGCAACGAGCTAGACAAGGCAACACAAAAAACTGATTAATTAGCATTGTTGAGCAACCTGATCCATCTAGGGAAGAAATAGTACGCATGTCATTCTCAGAAAAGGCAATATCTCCTCACATTTAGCTGAAACCGGCGGCTGTTCGAATTCTCCAAATATCCATAGAAAAGGCAAGAAAATTTGGAGCTACCGCCTCAGTAGCTCAAATGAAAATCGTCTGAGCAATTAGACTTATTAAAGGATTCAATACCCGAATCCCTCTAGAAGTCAATCTTAAGATTCGTTTGATACGCAATGACTACTGATTGATCTTTTCCTCATTTACAAGGCAGATACGAGCACAATTGCATTGATTGGTCCAGGCGATCCACAGCAGAGCAGTGAAGTTTTACTTTAGTAGGGGGGAAAGGCCAAAAGTCATCGTCTCCCCTTTGTTAAACAGCCTTTAAAAAGCGCGAACCTTCTCTCATGCCTAAAGTGAACAAACCCCTGAAAAGACTTTGTAAAAAACAAAGTATTTGAATATACCTTGAAATAACCGCGACACTCTATGCAAGTCTCAAGACTCTGATGAAGGCATTTTCCGTGCCGTGATCATTCCATCGAAATAGACTCAAGTTGCAGGTCCTTCGACAGATACTAAGCTAGCCTTCTTGCGCTTGACCGTCTTTCACAGTGTATAAACGAACTCCGGATTCTCTCTGTCAGTCAGATCAAGCCACCTATTACCGAGTCAGTATCCTCGCAGCGTGTCTTTTCAGACAAACAACTTACTCAGAATTCGCTACTTTGACATAGGAAGGGTCAGCCCGGACAGCTGCCTTCTTCTGATTCATTCTGCGGAACCACCACCAGATGAAGAGAACATCCACGATGCAAATCGCATAGCAGACGAAGATTGTGATAATAGCGGGTCGGTAGTGCGGCGCGTCTTTTGGACGGAAGGTCTGTGGTCCTATTGTCGGTTAGTAGTCTGCCAAATCTTTCGATGGGGTGCTCTTGTGATGCATACCAATAATATTGCCAACGCAGTAGGAGATAAGAAACATGGCCGCGGTTGTGGTCTTTTTGGTGTATCCCGCGATATTGGACGAAATCAGACTCAGGATAATGACGAAACCTGCTGGTGCGGCTAGGGTGAGATAGAACCCTATGAGCTTACCGGCTTTGGCACCGTCCGAGAGTGCTACAAGCAGGATGCTTCCAATTGTTGCAAGACCGACGCCGACGAGAGAAATCAACAAGCGGTTCTTGTACCTATCCCCAAGCCATCCGGTAAGGAGAAGTGTGACAATCTCAACTGCACCGGCAGGGGTGCCGAGCAGTAAAGATTTCTTGGCATCGTATCCAAAAGACACAATCAGCAGGCTGAAGAAGTTTGAGATCCCTCCATTGGGAATATTTCCAGCCAGGCTAAGGACAACGATAGCCCAGGAAAAAGGATCCTTGAGTGCCTCAACGAATTGGTATGTTTTGAAATGCTTATTTCCAATTCCTTGTTGATTTTCTCGGACACGTGCAACAGCGAGGACTCGATCCTCTTCGTTGAGCCAGTGAGCCTTGAGCTGGTTATCGGGGACAAGGATCCAGAAGACAATGCCCAAGGCTATAGTTAGAAGACCTGTGATGATATATAGAATCTTCCAAGCGGCGATCGAGTAGTAATTCCTCTCTTCCCCAACAGCGAGGGCCCACGCAACAACGCCGCCGAGGATTTGAGCAAAGCCATTGAAGCTGAACCAAAGACAGGTTCTTGCGCCCTGTTCGCTTTTCTTGTACCACTGTGATGTTATCAAAGCCCATCCTGGTGTGACGGCAGCTTCAAAGCCACCAAGAAGAAGCCTAAGGGTTGCGGCACCGGCGAAATTGTGAACCACCGCGAAGAGCGTCACGATGATTCCCCAGACAACGACACAGAAGGCAGAGTATTTAGCAATTGGCAATCTCTGAAGCAACCGAACTGTAGGCCATTCAAATCCCTGGAGCGCGATGCATTAGCCACTTGCGGTCGCAAGAAGTCACTTATCGAGATGTTTACCAAATAACCAAAATAAAAGATCGAGCCCAGCCACTGGTAATTATCACGAAGAAGGCCGATATCGGTTTGAAGGCCCATGATACTAGAGTACGACAGAGTGGTCTTGTCAAGGTAGTTCCTAGGTTTGTCAGTCTCCCATCTGCCAATCATCTCGTTATGAGTCATATCATACATTCCATAAATCAGACACATGATGGGCAGGATACGTTTGTCAATCCTGCGAAGGAGACGCTTGTCGGTCGCTTCGTCAACGACGATGTCTCCATAGCCTTGGAAAGCCGCAAAAGCCTCATCAACGTTCTTCTTGTCGGCTTTGACTAGCTCAGCTGCATTGAGGTCGTCCATGGAAAGGTCCTTTCTCATGTCGGCAGCAGTGTTATCCGACACTTTCTTATCGGTAGCAATGATTTCGGCCATCTTGAGCGTGTTTCTTGCCCAGAACTAACGGTGTAGCAGAGTGGTGAGGGGAGCGGTAACGATGTTTAAGTAGCGAAATACCTCCCTCGAGGATTATCAGGTCAGGTTAGTGCCAGCCACCTGAAGATTAGCTATCAGATGGTTGCCAAGGTGTGGTATCAAGATCATTATGATGTTGTAGAGAAAGATACATCGGTCCTGGCCAAAATTCACTCCTGTGTTGCAGCTTTATCTCGCTAGTCAACATACGAGTTGATAAGTCAGTCCGTTGGTGGATTCGTGTGCCCTGGAGCGCACGTTCGGTACGTCACCCAAACACCTGGTAACGCTTATCAGTACTGATAGCAAGTGCTTTTCCCTTTCGGGTAATGCCACTAATGCTTTCTGGGAGCCTGGGCAATCTGTAATGCCCCACATTATGAACTGACATGCTGGTCGGCTGTTGCTAACCGGTCTGAAGAGGGAAATACGCCCGGACAAGGGAACGGCGATCCTTGATTTGAAGCCCACATAGACAAGGAGGGCAAGCTATCACAGCTTCCGGCTGCTCGCGATTTATGGGTGTCGTTATTAAGAGTTATTCGGAGTGGACGAGAACTCAGGGCTATGAATGGGGAGAAGTAGAATAAGCAACATTGGATAAGCAACATTTAATTCCTTATACATCTTAGCCATTGCAGAAATAAAAGACCGCGCCTGTGATGCATGAGTCCAGTCTTTCAGCCTTTCCAAAGAGCTTCAAAATCTGCCCTTCCTTTTGCATAAGCAGAGAACATCGAACAGAATGTCCACCATCACTTCAGTGTCAACTGTAGAGGCTCTTTCCGCGACATCAATCGAAGAAGCCATATGCGAGTCTATCGAAGGGCTTGACAACCAACTTCGCGAAATCAACCTCAAGGCATGTTTCTTGGCTTGCCTCTGATCAAGGAGAACTCATTAACAAAGTTTTGATGATAGATCCACGGCAATCCCGAACTGATGTACGCCGAATTCAAGGCCCATGACAACATCATAGCCTTTCTTGAGTCTTTCGGCATATCTGTCACGCCACACGCTTACGGTCTCGAAACTGCATTCTCAGCAGAATATGGAAGCGGCAGTGGCCGAGTCGTAACCTACTGCTGCGAATATGATGCATTACCCCAAATCGGTCACGGCTGTGGACACAATTTAATCGCGACCTCTACCATTGCAGCTTTCTTGGGAGTTGTTAGCGCGATCAAACTTTCTGGTGTTGGTGCTCGTGTCCGACTCCTAGGCACGCCTGCAGAAGAGGGCGGTGGGGGCAAGATCAAGCTCGTTAGTGCTGGTGCATTCCAAGACGTCGATGCGGCGCTGATGTGTCACCCTTTTCCAGTCTCTTCTCAGAGTAAAGGATGGGATGGTGTCGCATACGGGAATTGCCTTGCTGTTTTAGCATTTCGGGCCACATTTGAGGGAAGAGCTGCACATGCTGCTTTCTCGCCGTGGCTAGGGGCAAATGCACTAGACGCTGCGACTTTGACGTACAGTGCTGTTAGTATGCTTCGCCAACAGACTCGGCCAACTGATATTGTAGGGCTTATCATCGAAGATGGTGGAGCGAGTAGTAATATTATCTCGGAACGCACAGTCATGAGTTGTAATGTTAGGGCAAAAACTCTCAAGAACTGTGTTGAGCTGTTGGATCGAGTACACAAGTGCTTTGAAGGAGCGGCCCTTGCTACGGGATGTAGCTTGAAACTTGAAACCATGTGAGTTAGCTTTTGGGTTTCCGATATGTCATGACCTGGCGCTGACTTGTACGCTCAGACATGAACCATACGCCGATCTACGATCTAACAAGGCACTATGCTCTACTTTCACGGAAACAATGTCTAGATTTCAAAAGACGTTCAAATGTGATTTGGAGAATATCGAAGATGGACCTTATGGCACAGACATGGGTAATCTCTCTTGCCATGTGATAAATTCAACTAGCTGACATTTTACAGGAAATGTCTCCTATGTCTGTCCGGCGTTCCATGGAACCTTTCATATTGAAACGCCTTCAGGCGTCGCTTTGCACTCTGCAAAATTCGCGGACGCTGCACGAACACAGGAAGCACACCGCGCCGCGCTTGAGGTCGCGAAAGGCATGGCTGTAACAGGCTGGAAAGTTCTATCGGATGACGACTTAGTTGCACGGATGAAAGGGGACTTCAGACAAGATATATTATTACGTTAGAGAACAAGGAGAAATTATTCCGTGAACCTTATGTAAATACTGTACTTTCAAACAACTCAGACCAAGTTGCCGGAGTATATAGCGAAGTGTGTAGACTCTGAAATCCCTCATTGAATAGATTACTAGCAAGATCAAGTCAGATAGCCGCTCTGCACCGTCTAGAGCCAGTTGCATTGCCAGCTCAGTCTTCTTGCTAATCAATAACCATAGTTTCGTGGCCTTGTAAGGCGTTCGGCAACTGTATTTGGAGAAAGAGCATTGCGTATTTGCTTCTCAAAGTACCTAGCGACCCTTCACTACATCTCTCAACTAGAAAACCATCATAACATAGAATAAGTAAACGGTGGAGTTCGCGGGGTAAAACAGGCCATGCTGTGGTTACTGTTTTGAGTAAGATAGGGGCCATAGGTACATTTACATCGCAAGGGTCTGCAATCTCCGGGATCCTTTGTGCGGTTCAACCAGGGCGGATTGACGATACCCGGTTTTAGATAGCAAAATCCTGTCGATTTTCGGTATAGTGTATTGTGGTATTCTTATAGGTAGATAGCAAGTGCACCCCTGTTGGCTGTCGTATTTATCGACACCGCAACCGACAGCCACTCAAGGACGACCTCCCACACACGTATGAGACCTTATCACTATGTCAATTTAGCGTTTTTCGAACTCAATAGCTCGCTCGTCTTGAGACTCATGCTTTGTTCATGGTAATAGTTTTCCTCCGCCAGATCAAAGTAGTATTTGTGCTCGGGACTTAAGACGGTGTGAAGCTGCTGACCGAGGCTCGTATGCGCAAGCAACATATGCGCTATCCATAAGTGAGTCTACTAACGCTTCGTTGCCTAATACTCAAACCATACTATATTTCAACTAAGCCTTAGTCACTGAGCAAATAGTCACCTGATTTTCCATGCAAAAGCTTTCGATCTCGCTAGTTCGTGAAATGTGATTTCCGTACAAACTCTCATCGGTAGACGAATGTATCAGAAGTAAACAGAGGCAAACATATATATCACATATATCCTCGCGCCTGTTCGAATAACCATCCCCTAAGTAATCTACAAGTTCGACGTGGCAGGGCGATGTTCATGAACTGCATTAGGAGTATGTCCATCTTTATGCTGCTCCCTTGTATCGAGAAACAATTGCACTTTCTGCAAAGCTCTCATGTTACACTCGGGTTAGAATGAATTCTCACCCTCTGAAATTGGGCTTCCTCTGTTAGGATTGACCTTCCGGGTCACTGATTAAGGTGCAAATACGTGCCAGGTTTCATCCGAGGTCTTATATCGGTATACACTCTCCGGGGTATAATTGACTTAACCTCATCCAGTCCCAGTCGTTGCCTTCATCTCTTGCCTTCCAGACCCTATTCATGACAAATTTCATTGTTTGGAGAGATGTACCAGTCTTTCGGACGCTATATATGTCACGAAAGATCCCGACCGCGATCTCCCGGTCCTCCTCAGTGTCGAATTCACAGCTGGCAATTAATGCGGGCCAAGTTGATAGCCCTAAGTCTTCCGGAGGCCCCTTTAAATAGGCCATGATCTCACACGCCATCCCAAAAGCTTCTTGGTCACTTTCCATCGAGCTTCCAGCAGGATGCATCACCCGATGTAGCATAAGCAGAGCAGCGGCGCGATACGCATAAGCATGTGCTATGAGGCGCCCAGAGGATCTCACAGCTATACTATCGCCATTGCCAAATGCCCATCGCCATGACAGAATTCGTGCACGCAAGCTGGCTATAGCCATATCCTGTAGTGACGGCTGTGAGATCGATACCGTGTCTTCGGGTGTGTACGCAATGGCCTGGGTAGTTACTGGATTTCGGATATCTTCAGCTAGAGCACACAGTTCTTCCAGAAGTGGCATCAGCGTAGTAGTGTATCCCATAAATCGATCGGTGCAGATAGTAGATGGATCGAACCACGTGTTCGTCTTGATTGAATTACGACGCAGTTGACTTAGGGATAATATCATGTCATGCCGGGCTAGGGCACGAATAAAATATTTGGCCAGCGAACTTAGTAGCAGGCCCGATTCGATGTATTTGTTAATAATTGATGCGGCGTAAGTGACGAGAATAGAGGATGAACGCTCATGAGGTTCACATCTTGTGTCGATACCCTATTGACCGTTAATGACTTTACATACGTTGCAACACTGTTGAGTCAATACCTCCATTGCACCTAGAGCTAAAGATGTGAGTAGCATTTGCTCTATTTCCCGACTTGGGTCCTTGACCTTCAGGCTGGCTAGAGCTCGCGCCCGTCTTTCCAGTGCCAGCGGAAGTAAGGCACCATGGCCCTCTTCCTCAAGGTAGACGCGCCCGATTGAGTACAGGGCATCCCCAACTGTCATTGGGCTGTCTTGCAGCACCATGAAAACCGAGGCGTTCATCTCCTCAACGAACTCTATGCTAATGACTTGCTCAAACGGATGCCTATTAAAGTATACGTTGATGGTCTCGGCGTCGTCTTCCGGGATTGCTCCTGGCGGAATCACGGGAATGGACCGGGGTATAGGAGACATAGATGAAAATAACTCGCATGATATCGTCAGGTCTGGAGACATTGGCAGTTGAAATGCTTCATTGCGGAATGCATCAGCGTCAATCTCAGTTCTGGCACTGGCAGTGGAGCAAAACGACAAAGCCCTGTCATATCTTTCTCCGGTCGGCTCGGCGGTTGGCGATGCATGTGTCTGCGTATCAGAGTGCTCGTTGGAATGATCCTGGCCCCACTTGCTTCTTGCATTCCTCGGGACGTATGATATGAAAATCCGTTGTCGTTCCTTTGGGTGTGCTCCTGTATCGGCTTGAGCGGCGTATCCTCGACAAGGACGCTGCCGACGAGCGCAAGTGCCACATGATGGGCGGATCTCGTCACATCGAACCTTAGCTAGTTTGCAGTCGATACATCCTCGTTTTGACCGGCGCCTAAGGTCAAGTGACACGGGACTCGTAACTGTCTGGTTCGCTGGCGTAGCCATAGGGCATTTGCAACAAAAAGTGAGTATCCTGCAGTGAGCGTCGTCTAGCTTGTTGGAAGTCGAAAAGTGGAAGGTGGTGGACTTTCTAAACAGACTCGGATCCGAGCAGGCCATGAGGCATGTTAGGGCATTAACAATAGTCCCCCTTGCTCACAAGAACTTAGATGTTGGCTTAAGAATGACAATGCCAAGGCTAAGTCTACCCCTCCCCTTTACAGAGAGATTCGCCCTTATCAGTCACGCTATCGGAGAAGATGGGGTTTGGATCTCCACAGCATGCATGCACTGGCTCCAGTCCATGTACAGGAAAACAAAAAAAGGGGGGGGCCACATTTCTAGAATCAATTGCCTTGGGATGATCTCATCGACTAATTGCGGTATTTGAAGTCTAAAAAATTCGAGAAAATGATCATGTTCAAAAGTCTGGCAATCTTTTTCTCATAACCATTCTGCGATTCAACCTTGCGAGATTCTTTTGAAATCGAGATCTATGGAGCTTCTGAAGTGATGAGAGAAGTTGGTGGGCTCAATTCCGGTAGGTTAGCTAAGTCGGTCCGGCCCCAATATTTGCAATCTGTCTCATCGTCGAGCTTACTTGTCGGGCAAATTTTATATACATCTTCCCAGTGGTATAGCACTGGGCGCTATTCTCAGAAAAGGCTGTGATGCCATCCGCCTTCCTTCTCGAATGAATTGCCAATACTTGTTGCAACATGTAACAGATTTCGGTCCGTATGACGTGGTCCGGTCAAACTCAATCCAAGTGGCAACCCAGTCTTTCCGATGAAGCCGATCACGTTTACAACCGGAACGTGAAGAATAGACCACATAAGGCAAAACGACGAGCTCCTAGGTCAGCTTAGATGAAACCAGCTCTCAAAAGATTGAGGAGGCCATACCCCATCGCCTGTTTTGAATCCTTCCCGGGCTTCATCGGGTGCTGTAGGTGTAATGATGATATCGTATTTTGATGCTAAATCGTCAAAGACAGGGCGTACTCGAGCACATCCATCGTACGCTTCGAGTATCTCTTTCCGAGTCAATTTCGTATCTTCTATGTAATTCACCAGGCCAGGATGTAACCTGTCTTTCGCAAGAGTATACTCTGATTTTCAAGTGCTATTAGTCAATGTCAACACTTTGAGATTCTAGGAACTATAGCTTACGTCTAAGAAAAGAGCTGCGCCCTTCGCCCCAGCACACGATACGGTGCCAGTCTGTAATACTTACAAAGTCATCTGGGAAAGCCACTTCCTCAATTGCTGCTCTATGCCCTACGAGTAACTCCTTCGCTTTATGCCACGCGGCCTCAAGAGCAGGAGTTGCATTTGGCCAGACGTGAGTCGGACAGAACCCAATTTTTGAACCTGCGATAGAAAAAGGGATATTGGTACAGCCTTGTCGTCGGCTAGCCAGAACACATTAGCTAAAGCTTTCAGGTCGCTGACCGAGCGCGAGAATGCCCCAAACGTGTCAAGAGTAACCGAGGACATGGCCAATCCTTCGTGCGAAATCGCACCCCATGTAGGCTATGAGTGATGAGCGTGCATTCACAATTCAATATGTCAATTCTTTGGTACCTTGAACGAATAGCATTCCTTGTATGACCCTGGCCGGATAACGCTTCCCATTGTTTGGGTGCCAAGCGCTATAGGAACATGTAAGTCTCCGACCGCTGCTCCGGATCCAGAAGACGAACCTCCTGGAGTATGTGCAGGATTGTGAGGATTACGAGTCGCTGGGCCGTTCATCGATGCTGCAAATTCGGTGGTATATGATTTACCCACGAGGAGAGCTCCTGATTGTCGGAGAGCTATGATTGGACCAGCGTCGACGTTCTGAATAGGGGAATTTTTGAAAAATGGGCGAGTTATACGCGGTAGGCATATCTGCGAGGGCTGAGCTCGTGCCTCCGCATCGCTCAGTCGTTAGGTTTTGGTGAACATCATGACTACGATAGATTTAAGGAGATACAGATCAAACCACTCAAAGATGTTGGAAAGAAGTTGTAAATGTGCAAATGATTCGAAGGGTGTGGTGGGAGGTGATCATTCAAGATTACTTCTTAGCCTCAATATCAGGCACCTACAATATGCCTGTCCATCCAGCCGCAGAAGAAAAGTCGCTTGAGACACAATTCATGATAGGCATTAGCCCAACACATTTTAGCACTCCCTTTCCTATGAATTGCAACGACCACGATATGATAGAACGTCCAATCGATCAGCCGACAGTTACATCCTATTGCAACATCCTCGCCAGGAGTAAGCCCTATTGGTCTCTCTAGCTTCCATACCGCCCACTAAATGCTATTAGTCTCACTTCTCATGCCACCGCTAGCAGACTGAGCACGCAATTCTCTATCACCCATTCCTACTGAATCACAATATGCCCAAGTTCAACAGACAGATGCTCAGATGAGATAAATCGCAAAGAATCTGTCGCCTTATCTGATGTCAGGAACACCACACGATCCCAGCTGGCCGGAGTGGGTAGCGTGGGCTAGGACATCTCTGACAGTGAGCGCCGCAGATAAAGTAAGCCGATTCACTGCTCGGTTGAGGGGAATTGCCTTCTCAACTAATATTTGTAGATCATAATGATCCATCGGTCGTTTCTTGTCAGGAGTTTCCAAGACCCCACGTATGCTTTTACTCCCCGTACTTGTGCCGCGGCTGCTTCAACAATCTTGCATGAATTCAACCGGGTTAAAGTGACAGACATGGTAAAACTATGGACTATTTCTACCTTTACCGTGGGAGCAGCCATTGTTCTGTACTTGGATATCATATACGACCAAGACGACCCGAACAACAGAGGGAATGATCTTGATTTAGTCATCGAGGCGGTTTCAGGCTTGAAGCTTCTGTACTATGACCAGATTGCATGCCGAGACGTCAAAGTACTGGAGGCGTTAATGCAACATAGAGAAAGGCGACCCGCTGCCAGAGCTCTGTTGGAATATGATAGACAACTCCCTAATTCGGTAAGGTTCGTACCGCGACTTAGAGAGCAAGAACAAGGTCACGGTGACCATTCCATAATAAGTGCACAGGAAAACACAATTGAGGAGCATGGTTGGGGACTTTGACTACGCTTTTGCGGCAATGGGACATGATCAGGAGCCTATAGATATCCTCGAACAATGGCTCAATCTGAATTCCACACATATAGAATTCATATAGGATCTAAAGAAGACAAAACGTTTAATAGTTATGAAGTTTCTATTCATGTTCACAGATGAGAAGGGACTGTACGATATTCTATTGTACATGAGCTATACGGCTAGCCTGGAGAGCTGGGCATCTCCGTAGTCTTCTCTTGAAAAGTGTGCCAATTTTGTTTGTCTTCTTCCTCTATTATAACTTGCAATCTAAGGCATTTCGGGCATGGTTCTAAACCGTAACGAGATGCGATGGTAACGACGAGTTCTGATCCGATTAACCGATTTGCTGACGCTCCATATCGAGATTCCGTATTCTACCACAACATCTTTTCAGACTAGAGTTGCTTCAATAGACGTATACAAACTCGTCATTCTCACGATCTGTCAAATCTGCGAATGCCATGCTTCCTATCGCGAACTCGTTGTCTGCATCAATGTTGACGTATCTCTCTTCCATGGAATGATCGTGGATCTTCGCAGACTTTCCATTTCTTACTCGCCTTTTACCTTGCAGTCTATTCAAAAGGAGCAAGTTGCCCACTTGAATGATAACAACGCAGATGATCATGACGAAGACTCCAAGCGTCTTTCGTAGTCCTGGGCGATATGCTGGAGCGTCACTGCTGCTAAAAAGAAGGGGTCCAATGATGTTGCCAGCCGAAGCCGCAGCGTTGTACAGAGAGACCATTACTGACTTCTTCGTTTGACCTGCAGTGTTGGCAAGGATCCAAGCCACGATCAAATTGTTGCATCCAAAGATGAATGCTAGAAGATAGTAGCCGACCAGCAATGGTGCCGTATGGGATGTTCCTCGTGGAAGTGCGTATAGCATGGCGAGGCCAGTGATGATCGGCATTAGTATGATTAGCAGCGTGATTGATTTCCATCGAAACTTGACGGCTGCGTAGGCCACGGCTAGGATGACGATGTACTGAATAGCGCCAAAAGGCATGTTGAGCAGAGATGTCTTGTATTTGTCGAACCCAAAGTTCTTCAGGATGAGAGGGCCAAAAGTATTGGTCACTTGTGCACCCAGGTTGCTACCGAGGGCCATGCCAATGAAGAGGTAGGTCTTCACATCGAGTGCAGCCTCAATCACATGGTGTCTTTTGAAGTCTCGAGAACCAGCCCCTGTTTGATTCGCGCGAAGGCGTTCGATAGCCTGTGCTCGCTCGAATTCTGTCAGGAATCGTGCTGATGCGACGTCATTATCTAATTTCCAATAGACGAATGGCACTGTCGCAATAGTGATGAGACCGGTAAACAGGAATATTCTATTTGAATATGTTAGCAACGGACCCTAAGACAGTATGTTGACACTGACATTTGCCACGGAGCTAGCACTGATGAGTTGATCTTGCCCAAGCCGTACGACAGAGCCGCAGCTACGATTGTAGCTAGACCATTTGTTCCGTACCATGCAGCAACACGTACTGGCTGCTCAGATCGGCGGTACCATTGGCTTGTGATTATAGAGAATAACGGCAAGCAGCCTGCCTCGAATAGACCAAGGAAGAAACGGACTGCCATCAATGCACCGAAGCTATGACAAGCGGGGGTACAGGATTGTGCGATACCCCATCCCAGCACCAAAGCCGGCATGAGAATGCGGTGTGGAACCTTTACAATCAAGATGGAAGAGAATGGTTGCCATGCAAGCTGGGCTATGGGTGCGATAGAGCCAACAAGCGAATATTGATTTCCTTTTAGATGCGTATCTTCTTGGAGGCCAAATATGGCGCTATAGCCGAGAATAGTCTTGTCGAGGATCTAATAAGTTCAATTAGTGATAGCACGATGATTGCAAGACTTTCGAAGTGATCGCACCTGCAGGAAGTAGACCCAGACGAGAATTATCAAGATGACCTTGTCCGTCTTTCGAAGGATTCGTTTGCTCTATCGCGGTGTCAGTCTCCGCGATAGAAGCAGTGTAAGCCTGGAATGTATACATCTTCTTCGGTTACAGACACTCGTTCTGTCGTGTTCTGTGCCTGGACATCATCCACGTATCTTGTGTTGACCCCAGGTTCGCCGCCTTGAGCATCTTTGTCTGGGCTACTGTTGCTGTCCGACATATCGACTTGGTCGCGAGTATACTCAGCAGGCTCGTCCTCTGACGGTAGCTGCACATATTTCACAGCATCAAGGCGGCGCGCTGCCATGTCTTATCTATTGCGGCATGGTGGGCGGTCAATGGAGTGCGGGGAAATGATAGGCGTGAAAGTCAGTGAGAGGATCGCCAATGACGATCCCGTTACGGCAGTTGACAGAATTTTGTGAGAAGCGCACGCGTGTGGCGCGAAGCCACCCGTATGCAATGCAATGCAACAGTATATTCCTACTGAAGTGTGAGATTCGTTCTCTGTATTCACTAGGGAAGCGCAGGTTCACTAGCCTCTTACTGTTAAACAAGCATTGTTACCTTGCAGCTATCCAGATAGACCACCTAGCAGGTGCTTTTTCTTCGCTTTTCTACTCCCCTTTGATTTTGTTTTCCCTTTTTCTTTCCTTTTCTTGCGCATTCTTTACAGAGCAAACTTTTTGATAGATTTTGGAGCCGTTCCACACCATGGGATGCATTTGGAGTCGTGATATCTTGGGTCCTCGCTCGAACTCTTTAGCAGCCCCTAGGACCATCTTCTCCTCCCCGTCCCTGTAGGCTTTGGAGGGGGAATGCCATCGTAACAAACAGCTCCGATATGACACCAGCATCCCTTGTAACACCGATTGCAGAAGTCTGGATCATCGGTCGAGTTGTAGGATAACTCAAACCACCCACAAGAGGAGCTTTCGCGCCGACAATACAGACATTGGCTGCACTCATCGTAGTCCAATGGTGCCTCGCAGCCGGTATCGCAGGCCAAGCCGCAAGAGGCACAGTCAGGATCGCAGGTAGGGAATTGAGAGAGTGTAGTGGGCACAAGCCAAAGTAGTGATGCAAAGGCCGCAAGTCGCATGTTGTCGTTATTCTGTGACAGCTGTATAGCGCCAGTAACCTGTGAAGTGTAAATGGAACAAGAACCGAGTAATTTGGACCGCGAAGGTTGTCTGGTCAAGCCAGTTTGGCTATATATCATCTCGGATAAATTCTGCGATATTGCAGCAACGCTGGTCTCCGGGTTTTAAGGCGGTAGAAATCTCCAATGCAACCCTCGAGACAATTTATATGCACAGTTCAATGATCGGTCCTTTCATACTCTAAAGAAAGCAATTCTTTTGCGAGCTATAATTGTTAAAAACAAACATGTGGATCATAGGACGAAGTTACGCTCTGAGTTTGTTCTTCATGCTTCCCGGCAGCTATACTTCCATCGCAAAGTATCCTCATCACAATTGTACCTATGCACCGATCTTCACTTGTCTTTTCCTTTGTTGTTAAGAGACCTCTTGCAAGTTCCTAAGGTGATTATTGCGACCTATCTAGGACACTTGATCGATTAGTTTTTAGTGTGATTAAAACAGTGAATACGGACAAATAGATGTAGTATTCTTTCCCTGATAGGAATTGGGCAGCTTGAGCCGACAATACGTTTTTGATCTTTGCTCGTAGACAGACTGTCATTTGACCGTACAGCTTTTGATTTCTCCGATTTATGCCATGATTACATTTAAGCCCACAGAGTCTCAGCACTACGTGACATCAGAAGTACTAATTTTGTGAATGTTGCTACCCATTCGCTCCCTATTTAATGGAGTTTACTTCAACCTCCATGGAATTTGCTGTTACTCGAGAAATACGACCGAAGCTAACAAAGACTTAGCTCATCTTGGAGAGGAAGCGAAAGAGCCTGGGTCTTAAAGCCACCCAATAGAAGGTCAGTCGGATAGATACATCGCCGAGTTGGCAGTAAGCCAATCAACAGCATCGCAGCTTGGCGAGATTTGATAGGTAGACAACCCTAACAAAACAACCGACGGCAGCTCGCCTATCGCCTCTTTGCAACCCAATACAGGGGCAAGGCGGAAGAGCTGAATATGTGTGCTATTTATGGTTTTCTTGGCTAACTTCCTATTAGCAATCATTTGCTGATAATTCAGCTTCAGCAATTGTTCTATGGTTACAGTTGCATCCAAAAGTCTGTTTCCATAACATGAAGGACTTCGAAACCGTTAGCAACCTATAAAAAGCTGTCACCTTGCACTCCAGTCTGATACAAAGAGCGCCAACACCTTCCTATCTACCTACCATCAAGTACTACTACTACAACATCTATTGTCAATATGCAGCTATCATTTGCGTCAACCTTACTTCTCAGCCTAGCGGGCTCAAGTGCTGCTGTCACCTGCAACTCCGGCCAACTGTGGTCGTTTGGGATTGGTTACCAAGTCGAGCTACCCTATTATTCGTCGAGCGACACTATAGACTGCAATATGGGCAAAGGAGCTAATAGCAACGCGGTCAAGCTTCTTCAACAAGATTTGAACGACTGTTATAAACGAGGCTTGAAGGTGGATGGCGATTTTGGCGATAAAACACTGGCCGCCTTGATATATGCTCAGGGGAAGGCAGGGACAACGGCTGACGGCGTCTATGGGCCAAATACGCGAAAGAAGATGGAGTGGCTAGGTGATCTCGGCGGTGACCACACCCCCATCTGCCGCAGACTGTCTGAGTTCTAGGATAAGCCTGGTGGGCATTGACTACTATATCTCATCATGCATCAAATTTTCATTTGGCTTGCTCGTCAATAGCACAGTTTAGCTTGTGCTTGTCAAGTAGTTGTAGATTATCCGACATTGAACAGATTCTACAACTACTTGACAAGCAC